CAATCCGAATACCTGATTTGAACAATTGTTCGGCTACGCCTAAAATGATTTGAAAAAGTTCAATAGAGTTGTGCAAGATGTCTACTGCAGCTACATTTCTTTCGCATATCTTCAGTTCATCATCATCATCATCATTATCATCATCGTACAGCGAAATACAGAGAAGCGAACTTCACTGATCGCTACCAAACTCGTAATGCTTATGCACTGGAGTTTGGTAGACGGGTACTGCCAGGATGTCCAGCCACTAAACAGGAGAACGATTAGAGTTCTCAACCAAAGCATTTAGTTCTGACAAGTACCTAACCGCAAATCATCGGGTGAAGCGAAGTGGAGACCAATTTACTTGGATCGGTTAGTCCTCCACCATTTTTTCCGACTGAAACGCCAATTCTAGTCGATTCCCCAACCTGGAGGATCAGGAGACTGGACTTCATCCGACCTCTACCCTTTGACTTTCCAGGCATGATTGGATCTTTGGCTCGGTAAACGCCATCCTGTGTAGCTTGTTGGGTGAGAAAGGTGCACAAGCCATCACACCACGTCAAGGTACAGTCTCATCGTGATGGATATCTTCAGTTACTTCATGCAAATTACAAATGGACATTATATATGTTGATGGGATATGGTGACAAATAGATTCAAAGTCGAGTTTTATGCAACTTATTCACAAGACAGCGTAACTAGTTTGACAACACTTTTTCTAAATTTAAATTCAAATTTTTATTACGGGTAACTTACAAACCTTATGTTTATTGAATCCGATAGGATCTGTACACATCCTGGGTTCGGTTGGTAGTACAATTAAGTAGCAAGTTATGACCTTCACTCACGGGTGCTGAAAAGTTGTGTTTCAATGTTTCATCCGACGATGAGTTGCATTGATCGATGGTTGGTTCATAAACAATTTGAGGTGGAAGAGAGCTCTAGGTATTATAAACTTTGAGGCTTAAACAGTAACGCCTGCAGTCTAGCAGTCTAGACTCTTTTGGAGCAAAAGTTCAAACGCTTGTCCTCGGAAGTGACCATTGCTTGGTTGTCCGAATACAGCTGGATTGAAATGGTCAGTACATGGATGAGGATGACGTATTAAACTGTGTAGTTCAATAATAAGCCGATTGAACAATATTGACGATTATCAACAGCAAAAGTTGGAATTCATGATCTAAATACAGGTGTGAAATGGGGTAGATTGATTGATTGTGTATGTGTGTGTGTGTGAGTGAATGGATGGTTGAGTGATGATGGCCTGTGAACACTTACATTAGCAACGGATAAGGTCGGAATAGTGATCAATTGTGCAGATACGGTGTGGACATCTCGCAGGAGAAAACACGAGATTAATCGATGTGTTTCGCTTCCCAATTCGTATACTAACAAATCGATGGGTCGTTCAGAAATCATTTGTTTTCGGAAACTTGTTTTGCAGC